ACGAGCAACTGCAGAATACTTTAGGGTTCCCATTTTTAGAACTCAACCTGTTTTGAAATAACCTAGAAGGCTTTTTTTCCCCTTTGACACAAAGTACAGAACATGGATTGAAACATCAAATCATAAAAATAATTTCAAAATTCCAATCCAAATGCATCTATACACTAAATGTCTTTAAAAGCAACCAAGTCACAAGACGGGCCAATTCTCATGTAATCTCACTGACATGCCATGGCTTTTCACATTCTGCCCACCTTTTGTAGCGTACTTTATGTTGAACACAGTAGAGTTTTGTGTTAAGAAAAAGTATTTCAGAATTTAATAGGCATGTGGGTGAATAGGAAAAGAGAAGGCAATTATTCCAGGAGATTTACCTGCCGGGAAAAGAATTTAGCTGCATAGTAATGCAAATAATAAAAGCGAGGTCTCTGAATCATTTTGTCAGAGGTTTTCCACCAACCTGATAGCTCGAATGACAGTTTTAAGTGGTGGGGTGAGGTCTTCTACAGATACATCACACTGGCATCCTTTTTCATCATATACATCATCAGTGCCAAGGGCGGTGTCAGCTGCAAGAGAAAGTTCCCAGTTAAATGCCACCAGCAGCAATTTAAAATATGGTGAGGAACTTGTCTCACAGAGCAATAGGGGGGAACTCACAGACTAACCTTACACATCAAGTATAAGGTCATCCAATTGTTTTCCTCAATGTTATTTCTTCTCCTTTCTCTACAACCTCACCAATTTTCTGTCATTTGACTTGAATAGCCTCCTAAGCTGATCTCCACAGGGAAGATGAAGATGTTGATGCGCTGTCTTTCCTTCAGTGGTGATGGATTTGTGTTGACCCACCCCTGCTCTTTGCCCAGTTCTTTGAAACTACCAGCCAGCATTTAAAAAACAGTTGTTTGGAGTTAGGGAAACAATCTATGGATACTTAACTAATTGATCTCTATCAATAGAGCTTGAAACCCATGACAATGACCCTGTTAACCCCAAACCCTTGAACAGGCAAGTAAGCCCTCAGACCCAAGAATCCTGACTTATCAGTTACTGCCTGACTACACAGGCAGCCTAGGAGACAGCTTGCTTAAGATAACACAACCAATGCGGAGAGATTTTCAGGTTGGTAATAAAATCAGTTCCTCATAAACTGAGCAAATTAACTTTTTATTTCTTTCTGAAACAAATTAACTGTTGGGTTAATAGCAAAGGTTGTAAAAGGGGGTAGGGTTACAATAAACCAAATTAGTAAGGATTTATAAAATTAATAAGAAACTCATATCACTGCAGCTTTATTTTCAGCAACAAAATATTGAAAAGAAATTACAATTTTTGGAATGGGAGATGAGTGAAATAAATATTGGTAGGTTTATATAATAGAATATTAGGATGATGTTGAATATGTGGAATCCAATTAACAAAATAAACTGATGAACGGAATGGATCCAGAGACATGGAAGCATGGGACAGAGTGGAATCTCAGAGGGAAGGCAGAGGAGGGAGGGTGGATGGGAGGTAATCAACCAAAGACCTAGTATGCATATACTTATAACTCATGGACACAGACAGGGAGGTGGTGAGGATCTGGGGTGAGGGGTGGGGGCAGGCTGGATGGGGTCAATGGGACATATGTAATACTTTCAACAATAAAGATTTTAAAAATTGCTAAGAAATAGAAAATAAAAAATGGTGTTGAAGACCAATGATTGAAAAAAAGTCACAATATATTATTATTATTTAAAATGTTTAAAACAATTTTTTAAATTGATTTTAGAGAGGAAGGGAGAGGGAGAAAGAGATAGAAACATTAATGATGAGAGAGCATCATTGATTGGCTGCCTCCTACATGCCCCCTACTGGGGATCAAGGCTATAGTCTGGGCATGTGTCCTTGACCAGAACTGAACCTGGGACCCTTCAGTCCACAGGCTGACTATCCACTGAATCAAACCAGCTAGGGCAAAATTATTTATTTCTTTATTAAATTTATTGGGGTGACTTTGGTCAACACGAACATATAGGTTTTAGGTCACAAAATATTATTAAAGAAAAAATCTATATATCTATTAAGATTAAGCATGATTTTATTATTTTGCTTGGCTATATTTCTAAAATGTCTACAATAAACATCTATTACTTTGGTAATAAAGTAATAAAAAATCATACATGAGATGAGTTTTATAGCCTCCAAATATACGGCTAAGCCTCTTTAAATGCTGACATACACTAAGGGACTAACACTGCTCTCTTTTGCCTTTGCTCTGCCCAGTGGTCATGTGCTAAGTCATGAAATGTCCTTTGCTTGTTTGTGATTTTATGTCTGGTTTTTAGATGCCAAAACGGCTGAGAGAAGGTAAGTACCCTACTTAAGGCCACAAAGGTGGTAAGTGTAGCTAATAAGTTGCAGAGCATGTTATTAATTTTTAAAATTTATTGATTGATTTTAGAGAGAGAAAGAGGGGAGGGAGAGAGGGAGAGAGAGAGAGAGAGAAAGATTTGTTATTTCATTTATTTGTGCATTCATTGGTTGATTCTTGTATGTGCCCTGATTAGAGATCAAACCCACAACCTTGGTGTATCTGGATCATGCTCTAATCAACAGAGCTACCCGCCAGGGCTGCAGAACATGTTATTAAAATTCTGTTTCTTGAGGCTCCAAAGCCCTTGCCCTTGCATTATGCAGTGTTAGATGCATTCAGGGTTCAATAGTGGCATGCAACATGTCAGGAGAGGGCCGGGGGAAGAGCTCAGCTGGCGTGCTGCCTCTTGGGTATATTCCACTTCTCTCCAGACAAGTTTGCCACTGGATAAGAGTACACTGATTAACTCTGTCAGTAGGTTCTGACTCAGTGATGACCTTGATGGTAGCTAGCCATTTTACTTAATCAACCACCCACACAACACAACCCTTTTAGCTTATAACATCATGCCCAAGGTTAGATGACATTCTTTCAGGAACTCTTCATGATTTCTTCCTCTTAGTTGGTAAAGTAGGTTGAATAATGTTGCCTCAAAGTTCATGTCTACTTGGACTATCAGAATATGACCTTGTTTGGAATAAGGGTCTTTGCTGACGTAATTAAGGTAAGGTGTCAGATGAGATCATCCTAGATTAGAGTGAGCCTTAAGTCCAATGAAAGTGTCCTTGTAAGATAGAAAAGGAGAACACACAGGAGCACAGAGAATATGGAAGAAGAGGAGGGAAAGATGGGTCTCCAAGCCAAGAACACTGAGCCTGGCTGTCAACCGCCAGAAGCTGAGGGAGGCACCCGATGGCTTCTCCCGCAGACATCCCAGAAGAAACCGACTGTGGAGGCACTCTGCTTTGGGGCACCCTGATTTCTTAAATTGTGAGTGAATACATTTTTATTGTTTCAAACTACCCAGTTTGTGGAATTGGTTATGTCATCCTTAGGAAGCTGATACAATTGGGAACACTTTTCTTTATGGTTTCTCTTCACTCAAGAACAATAATTATGATGATAATAGTAGTAATATGTGCTTTTAAGGGAAATCTAACTATGTGCCAAGGACTTTGATTAATTTCTAAAAACCCCAGGAAGGACATAATATTATTAGCTCCTACTTTACAGATTATGAAAGTGAGGCACACAAAGCTAAGAAACTTGCCCAAGGACACCTGGGGCAGAAGCAGAATTTAAATCTGGGCAGTTGGGCTCTGGAGCTGCACTGTTAAACCTGGCCACGCCCAGAGTCTCACTCTCAGCTCCTTCCAGATTTGTCTTTCTTGCCCCTCTTGTTAGCATCTAGATCTCCATCTCCTGCGTTTCATTTTCCTTCACATGTGAGCACCTGGCTGTTGTGGTTTCAGGTGAAGTGACCCCACAACATTGAAAAAGGATCAGACTTGGAGCAATGACGTTCCCAAGACCATGTGCTGGGCCAGTCCACACCCCAAGGAGACCTGGAAATACACATACCCTGGAACTGCGAGGAGACTGTGGGTGTGGGGGCGCAGGTACAGGCCAGGTGGCTGTCAGAGCCAAAGTCACCAGGCACCACTATGGAGCCCTGGGAGACACCCCGATGTTACCTACCCCAAAAGAAATATAGAATCATGCACTTTATCAGGATTCCCAGCAAGGAATTCGGAAGAGTATTCTACGCTGCCCTTGACAATAGAGGCATGTGACCTCTCTCCCTCCTCTGAAATCTCGTGAGAACCACTCAGACATGGTCCCATTTTATACCTCAGAAAACTGGGGAGAATGCGAGAGGTTCCAGGGAGGGCAGGTCCTACTTGAAAATACAATACACCCAATCGTAACACAATGATGCAGGTCCAAACAATGGAACAGTATAAAATACAGGGTCTTTTAGAAAAATTAAAAAAAAATTGGTCATTGGTCATTTTATTTTAATTATTTTTGTTAATCCTCACCTGAGGATATTGTTCCTTTGATTTTTTTGAGAGAATGGAAGAGAGAGGGAAAGATAGAAACATTGATGTGAGAGAAACACATCGATTGGCTGCTTCCTGCTTGAACCCCAACCAGGGCCCAGGCCCAGGAGGAGCTTGCAACCAAGGTATGTGCCCTTGACCAGAATTGCACCTGGGACCCTGGTTCGCAGGCAGACACTCTATCCACTGAGCCAAACCAGCTAGGGCAAAAAATATTAATATTTTTAGAAAGAGAGATAGAGGAAGGGGGAGATAGGTAGATATGGATTTGTTCCGCTTATTTATGCATTCATTGGTTGATTCTTGTATGTGCCCTGACCCAGGATCGAACGTACAACCTTGGTGGTATTGGGATGATGCTCTAACCAACTGAGCTACTTGTCCAGGGCCAAAAACAGGTTCTTTTATTATGAAATTTTAGTGCAAAACTTTTTCAGCAGGTTTATGCTGTCACAATAAGCACAAAAGTAAAGATAGCGAAATTACATTTGCACTGGCTGTAAATAGAACTGGGAACATCCCAAATGATGATGAGTTTCCTCCCAGATTAATGCTGCTCCCCCTCAACCTTGTCCTGTGTCCCAATAAGAGCTTTAATCTATCATCTTGTTTAAATACAGGACTGGGTAGAAGATGGGAGTCAGTCACCAACTGCATCATATCTAAATGCATCTTGCTGTGGAATGTTAGTATACTACCTAAACTTGATTGCTCACAGCACAAATTAAACTCTCAGTGTTTAAAAAATTTTCTTTGTAGGTTTAGTCAGAGCAAATGAAGAAGAACTATATCTTTGCTGGCCTCTATTGAAGCCAGGGCTCAGTTTGAAATTTTTTCTCCTTATTTTAAAGCCACAGAAATGGAGAAAATGCCATCTTTCTGCCTTGTAAGTATCTTGAGATGTCAATTTTCTTTCCAGTAAGGTTAACACCACATTAAATGTCTTTCTCATGATTCCTAGAGGATTAAAACCCTCTGTGAACTCTAAGGCACCTGGGTGGGGCTAAGTTTTCAGCCAAGGTTGGCTCTCACTCCCCAACCATGCATCTGGCTCTCTGTCCTGGCATTTGGGGAGAAGTGGGTTAAGGGAACATAAGTTCACGGGAACACTGACCTGCATAAAACCGAGGCATGCACGGCAAAA